GGAAAGTCCCCTCCCCCGTAGATCCGCCTGTGATTAGAGGGTCTCCACTTGTTTACTCTCACTTACTTGTATGTCATATACAGTAAGGGAAAGCATTGCGATCCTGAAAATTTTCAACTTTTTTTCTACTCCAAGAGTATTTACAGATAAATGTTTTATTTAAGTTTAATATTAGTTTTCTAATTCTTTCATTTGATAAATTTTATTAAACATATAAGAGGAAATAATAATTAGAGACTTTTGTTTAGTTTTTTTTTCTTTTAATATGTAAGTTAATCTCCCGTAAGTCAATAGGTACCCTTAAGCTATTTCATCGCTCCCACCACCTACTCCCACAACCCATCCGCAAGCTCCTTGTATCCTCTCTCATTTTCCCCCACTTTGACTACGGCTGTGTGGTGTACGGAGGCATCCCGATGGTACTCGAGGATAGATTGAAGCGACTCATGAATATGTGCTTAAGATTTGTCTTCGGTACATCAAAGCGATCTCATGTGTCCCACCTTTACGACGAGTTAAAGTGGCTCTTCCCTTCTTTCCGCAGACAATATTTCCTCGGATCTTTCCTATTCCAAACAATCAACACCAGACACCCTTCTTACATCTACAGTCTCCTACAGTTTAAACCCGTGGTCCACTCCCAGAAAACAAGATCCCGTGTTTCCGACCTTTATATCCCTTCCCATAGAACTAAGACGTTTGAATATTCCTTTATTTCCCGATCCACAGCCTTCTGGAATTCCTTGCCATCTGAAATCCGTCATGCCTCTTCCTTGTCCTCATTTAAATATCATCTTTACCAATTCCTTCTCACATCCCAAAATGACGTTATACAATAAAATATGAGAACTTCTAGCCCTAATGCTTATAGCCCTCCAGCAGTGGCTGCATGTATTATTATTCAATAAATAGATTAAAAAAAAAAAAACAATAAAATAAATATTGTGAAATAGATTTTGACTGAGGTGAATGGTTGATAAAATTTATTGAGTCTTAATTTTAAAAATCAACCCATGCTTATTTTATTTTATTTTTATTTTCATTTAAATAATGTTGTTTTTTTTATTTCGTTTTTTCTCAAAATTTTATTTTATTTTTACTTGTTTTAATTTAATTTCACTGAAGATACTGTATATATTCTTTAATATTGGTTAATGTAATTTTTGGCCAGATGTAGTTTTAATTTTTTTGTTCATATCTGTTATTCATAAGGGACCTTGTCCCAGAATAAAGTTTACTTTCTATCTATCTATCTATCTAAAATTTCATACCGGTGACAGATAAAAATTTTATTTCTGTTGCTTCGGGGAAGAGCGCTATCTGTTGGGCGTAAAAGCAAGCCGCGCTATACTAAATATTTTACGATTCTATTTCAATTTCTCCGATTTTCAATTTCGTGATTCTATCTATATATTTCATAATGCATTGTTTGATTGAATTTTCGATATATTTCAATTGATTTTCATTTTAATTTAGTTATTTTCTGCTTCATTGCGTTGGAATTGAGCTATGTTGATAGCCATAGCATGAGATCAGTTTATTTTTTATATCTTCATTGTTTTCAATTTCACATTTTTAACAGTTTTTTGCTGTTTTGTTTTTTGTGCAACTGGTGGTGGAATTGGGCTTTGTCGATTTGAATTTAAATGACAGCTTGAAACGGAATGAAAAAATAAACTATATTCTTAAAAAAATAAAACTGTACCATTACTTACCATGAAGGGTCTTGGTTTCAGTACTATTTAGGAAAAGTAATGTTTCTTGGACAACGGCTGTGAAAGGAGGTGATTTGACCGACACAAAGCTCAATCGCCAGGTTTTCTCCTTAATTCATTAACATAATTAATTTAATTAATGACATTCAATGATGAAGATATAGAACTGAATCCAGGAGGGGTTCTAAAAAGAATTAAACATTTTAAATATCTTGGTTCCATAATTGAAATAGATGGTGCATGTGATGTAGAAATAAAAAGAGAAATTTCGGATGGCAAAAAGACCATATCAATACTCAACTCGGTATTATGGAGCCGGAACAATATCCCAAAAACAAAAAAAAAAAAAATCTGCTATAGTATAGTACTGAGCATTATGGCAGATGGGTCAGAAACTTGGACCATAAAAATTAACCTCAGGAAAAAACTTCTAGCCACCGAAATGGACTACTGGAAACGAGCGGCGGAAATATCCAGAATGGATAAAGTCATAAATACAACCATCGGAGAAAAGATGGAGGCTAAAAGAACCATTCTGGAAGAGATTGAGATAAAACGCCTGAAGTAGTATGGACATTTGAAAAGATGCGTGGAGGAAGACTACCCAAAGAAGTCCACTTATGGAAAACTAGGGAAAGAAGAAGACGAGGAAGACCTGGGATAACGAAGTGGAGAAATCCATGATGGCTCATGGTCTACGGGAAGAATGGACCTTAGATAGAACATTATGGAAAGAAGCCATCCAAGCACTTTGAGTTAAGAAAACCCACTATTAGTGGAAACTCCTAATAAAAAAATAAAAAAATTACCCACTTTATAGGGGCTGGGGAGTGCCCTATGAACCCTCCTCTCCCTAGGCTCGCCCCACAGATAATGAAACAGAATAAATATTTTTTCTCGCATGAGCCAGGATTCGAACCTGGCATCTTGAGAATTGCAAGCACAGCGCCCTCCCTACCACTGAGCTACCCCACTTCCTAAACCATACCCATAATATTTCTAATGGGTATATTAATTGTCAATCTAAAGTTTATATAATTTATTGGTTTGTTAAAATAAGAAGACAGAAAGATAATTATACAAGAATATTTTTTATGAAGATTTAGATATGTTATTTATGGAACGCTCTGTACATATATTGTGGTATGAAATAATATGTTATTAAACATATTAGAAATGTTTGATTTCTTTTCCATTTAACCAGAATGAGCCACAATAACGTGTGGCTATAGGTGGAGCTAATGAAATATATTTATAAAGAGGTGATAATAGACCTCAAAAGCTACAAAGACCATGATACGATTCCAAACTAAAAAACAGAAAATTTAGAAAGGAGTCAAAGGAGGGCGATATACCACCATATATATATAGCAGAGGAGGAACTCAATATGAGGATAATTAGAACGGGATGAGACTGTGATCAGGAAGGGATTGTGAATTTACATGACAAGTAGTTAAGATGCTAAACATAACGGAAAAGTGAAATAAAATATGATATGATGGATAGGCGCTCGGAGTAGGGGAAAGCAGTGAAAAAAATTAGAAAGAATAAAATCTACGGTTTAACCAAGCTACGTCTTTTGTTAAACTAGAGAAATAAATAATAATAATAATAGATGACACAGGCACCACCTAACACAATGGTGTATTTTATAGTAGAAGATGATTGGAAGTCTTCGGCTACAATCTGTAGGATGACGTATACCAGAGAGTCAGCAGTAAACCTCAAGATCATGTGGTTGGTCAATGAATATCACTGGATGGTTATTGTCTTTTCTGCCCCACACTCTATCAGCCACAAACTATTTGTATTTTAGTTTATTAGCTGCTCTCTTCTGACATGCTAGCAAGCAGTGCCGGCCTTAGACATTCAGCACCCCCGGGAAATGAATGTCCTGGTTCATCTCTCTCTACCTAAAAAAATTAATTTGTTTCTTAATATATTTTAACTATGTTGAATTTGAATTTTATTTCATTCAATATTGCTCTAATACTGAATATTGATAGACTAGGCTTGATAGGCTTTATTAATAGGCTAAAATTAATTATTTTAACACGTTTTGCATTTTTTATTAATTTCTAACGATTGGCAAGCCTCAAAGGGCATCCCTCCAGGTCAGCGCCCCAGGGCAATGGTCCCCGTTGCCCGCCCTAAGGTCAGCACTGTGAGCCAGTACATACACCTATCAGTAGGGGTCATTTTTTTACCCAGATATATTTGGTGGAAGTTGTTTTCCTGCCAGCCAATATCTCGTGTTAAAAAGTCCTTTTTCACTTTCCTTCTGTACACCAACTCGTACTGTACTATATGCGTGGCAGTCTATGGTTATCACTTTTAGGCCTATGACACTCCACAAAATATTCTCCACAAGATGTCACATTGATCTTTATCCCAATACCGGCTCCCACTCTGACAACCAGGACCAAGAGACTCTCTTGCACATACCAGATAAATGTATATAACGATAATTACTTTGGAAGAAAAACTACCTGTATGAAATGGTGTTTAAGTGATTCTTGAAGTCCTATTACATATAATTACACAAACAATAATACTTTTAGAGATAATTTATATACTTATACTTTACTATTTTGGGAGCTTCAGTCATAAAGCTCTCTTCCCCCCTCCTCCCACCATCCTAAACTCCAGTCTATGCTGGAAAGTACATTGAAGCCATCTAGATGTAATCTGCGCATAAAAGGCAAACTTTGTCTTGATCGTTTCTTTTTCATATAAGACCTCAACTTCATCTTTATCTCTTTATTATTAATTAAAGACTTGTATGTTTTGAAAGGTAGCTGATAAATAGATACATATTATTCTACAAATACAATATAAAAATTAACATTTTAAAGTTTCTGTGGAACCATTGAAATTACAGACAGCTATAAAATTATTTATATTTAGTTAACAGATAACTTGCATGTATATTTTAATTATTTTTTTAATATTAAAATTACACAGATTGAGCATAAATCTGTTAAATGTATTAACTAAAAAGTAAATTAAATCTTTAATATGATAATAGTTTCATAACTGAGCTACAGATAGCAGCACTATCCTGTCCTACACTAACATCTTATTTTCATTTACTTCAGTTTTTTATTATAATATTGAAGATATTAATATGCTTTCTTTTTTCGAAATAAAGGTCCTGATGAGGAGAATATATTTTAAATATTTTATTTACCCATTGCATACCATAAAACATTTAATAAATAATTATTTCTAGATTTTAATGAAAGTAGTTTTGTTGTATTATTAATTTGATATTGATTTATTTTCTGATTTTAAATAATATTGTGTCCTATTAATTATTACAACAGTCACATCGAAACCAGTAAGACCACTCAAATGTATTACAAACAAACATACTAATTTTAGTAATCAACTAACTGCTGTTCAAATGTTTTACCTAAACAATTTGCTAACTTGTGTTTGATAGACTATCAATGATTCCATATTAAAATATGCTTTTTAAAAAATAGGAATTTTTTTGAGAAAGGTAAACATTTTTTATATTCATATTAGATATATTATGTCCTGTAACATCAAACTATCTTAATTTATTTGTATCAAGCAAAAATTTTGTTTTAATTTTTTAGCAACGATAGTGTTTGACTGGTACTGTCAGAAACAAACAAAGTGATTAAATTGTCATTGAATTTGTTATGAAACATTTACTTGAAAACATTTAATTTGAAATGTATATCACTTTCTGTAATTTTTATTTTCTAACCATTACCAAAATTATTAGGTTATAGTGACGATAATTATAGTTCTATACAACTGTACATGAGTTAGGTTCCTTTAAAATTAGATAATTTACTGTTATAGTTTTATATAACCCTATAGTCAGACTTAATTCATTATTCTAGAATATTTCATGTGTCATTTGTGTGAGTACCATGGCAACACATCACAACATTTTATCATTTTCTTGATTACTTTATACAGGTTGTTTTTACAGTGTGATTTCTTGTTTTATTTTGGAGTTGATTAATGAATGTAAATATGTTAAGCCAAATGTCTGCCAGCAATAAAAATGGCCAAGTTTTTATATTCATTAAACATTATGACTGTAAGTGAAAATAATGTGAAGAAGCAGTTTTAATCAAGAAATCAAAATGAAGAAATACATGATAGAAGAGAGTATGTTCATTTCATCCTTCCACTCTGTAGAATATTGTATTGTTTTTTTCTAATGCAGTTGTTAAATATTAAGGATTTTACCTTATTATTAATGTTTTTTTTTCATAAATGGGAAAAATAAAATTATCTTTAATGTACACTACATTTTCTTATATTTAATTCAAAACAGAATTGAATTTTTTTAATGTTTTAAGGAATCAAAGTTTTTTTTATAATGCAAATCAGTTATTGACTAATGCCCTTTCTTTAGGAAGTGATCTAATTATAGCATGAGATTGATTCAAACCAACGTCTTTGCAATGTTACAGTTTATCCAAAGAGTCAAACCGGCAAATGCATGGTTTATTTCAACATGTCTCATCATTACAGAAGGATTTATTCGGCAAAGCCACGTGTTGATACAAATTTAGCTAAAAGGTCTCAAAACCAATTGTGTTGTTCGTAAGTGTATTTTACCATTATTTTCCTTTTTTGGTAGTATCATGGTTCAAATTATAGCTATAATAATGTTAACAATGTTCAATTGTCAGATCATTAACTTTACCAACAGTAAGAGCAGAATGAATCCATTATTTAGATTTTTTCAGTATTTTTGATCTTGAAACTTCTTTCTTAATTGAAATAACAGAATATTCTGTGTTGTACTTTTAATTTAACAAGTAATTTGCTAATAAATAGGTACATCATTTATCTTATATCTCCAACCTTAATAAAAATGAATGTTTTATAAAGTGTTATCCAACAAGATAGGTTTCTTGGAGTCATGTATTATTTTCTAAATTAGAACCTTGAAGCATGAAGTCAGTAAAAATCTTTTGGCTATGCATTGTTTTCTGAAAAATTCTTCCATCTTTTCTGAGCCCTTCTCTTGAAGTCTTCTTGTGGCCTTTTACTCCTATGCATTCTTTTATCACATCTTGCTTGGTCGTCTTCTTTTATGCCTCTATTCTATGTGATGTAATATTACTTTTTTTTATATCATCATTTCTCTAGCATTATTTTTAAGTTACCATACCATCTTAATCTTCAAGTGAAATTTTAAAATGCTTGAACATAATGTGTTATTTATTATTCTTTCTGGAAATATTAATCATTTTCACAAAATAAAAAATAATGATTTCTTTTTATTTTAAAATAAGACTCCTAATGTTAAAACTTCAACCAATATCATACATTTATTTTAGAACAAAAAAAAGTTTATTTATATTCTAAGATATTTATTCCTCTTAGTATAACAAAAATGTACATTAAAACAGCATCTGTCTGGCTGCATTGATAAAAAATAAATTATAATATTTATTATATTTTAAGCAATATATGATAATATTAAATAAAAAAAAAAAAGCCAGAATATTTATTTTAACTTATCCTTATCGAACCTAAAAGCCATTTTCATAAAACATTCCAAAAACAACAAAAGTCACAAATTCAAGATGTCTTTTTCATAAAAACATTAATGCTATATTGATAAAGATATAATAATAATTATATAAGGTCCCACAAAAAGAAATGAATACCTACATAAGGTTGTTTGTCATAAATTAATTTTAAAGGCGAATTAATGAAGACAATTTTAAAAAATTCTAATCTTGATGAAATATGATAAAAAATAAATAAATAATTAAAATAAATATAGATTGATATATAATATATGTATATATACACACATTTCTGTAAACATAAATGAAAGATTAATGGTTCAGGAAATGGAAAAATAGGTGGTGTTATTGAGTGAGCTTTTGGAATATAGTTGAGAAGGAAATTCCAAAATGAGGTTGCTCGAATTATAAGGAATTTCTCAATTTGTTCTCTGAGAAAGTTCATACATATGGGAAGGATGAGATCTTGTATTCAATTGGTGTATAGAAAAACACACGATGATGAGGTCAAGAATATAGGATTTTTTATTTGTTCCCAGGGACTGGGGTAGCTCAGTCGTAGGACGCAGACTTCAAATGTTTAAGATCCCAGGTTTGAAACTAGCTGATGGTAGATAAATTATTTACTCTATTTCATTGGTCCTGGATCGACACTGAGGTCGGGGACCGTCCTGGAGCAACATTTTGTGGTCAAAGCACAACCGTTGACTTAGAATCAGTACTTCCTTAAAAATTACTAAATTTAAGTTCATGGGTAGTAGTGGTATAGGTTTTCCCCTCCTCCTCTCTCCCGAGTTTTGGAATAGGAAAGTACTAAGGAGATATTGTCTTCGGAAATTAGGTAATAACCACCCTTGCTCAGATTACCTGTGAGAGCATCTGAGAACACCAAAAATCAGATAAGGCAGATTTAATTTATATTTCAACACTTATAGGTATCGTTTTCAACTTAGAATCCATGGATTAATTAATCCCTACTTATTATTAAAAATAATCTTATTGAGTATATTCAAATTAATAGCTTCCACATTGTTAACAATACTATAGCTTCTTACTTTCAATGTTAATAGAAAAATTTTAATAAATACAGACACTATACTTTACCCTATTTTGTTTAACACTACCTCTAAACAATAACTTATGTTGTGATAGATCTCCTGATGTTTTTAATTTTGTGAAAAGGAACACAGTTAAACAACCACTTCTCATGACACCACGTCACAAGACTTGTACTAAGGTATCTACATTAGTTTGATTTGGTTTGTTTAATTTCAGGCTGCAAAATTATTACCTATCTGTTAATATTTATAACATCACTTCACGTTTTAATTACTGTTCAGAAATTTGTTTTCATATTTTTTTTTATTTACTCACTTCATGAATTATTAATGAACCTACAATTGGACCATTTAAAATTAATGAATAGATGCAGACTAAAGCTGTTCGTCCACTAGATCAATACAGAGGTGAACTGAAGAACCGCTCTTGAACAAAATTTATCTTATGCTCAATAATAATTTTTGTTTAGAATCATGTTTCTTCACTATCTTACGAGCTACAACAACCTAATACAGTTTATTATGTAGAGCATACATTTGGTAATAAGCAGTTGATTTAATTTTTAAATATTAAAATTAAACCATCCATTTATTCAGGAAATAAAAAAGATAAAAACAAATTCTGGCCTAAAGACTTTGTCTAGGTCAGAGAGGAGGCACAGGATACTTTTTCTATGGGAACAAGGAATTGCACCACACTTCCACACTGATCTAGTGGACGATTAGCTTTATCTTTTGACATTTTTTTTTTTAACTGAATAATGATCATTTATGGAGTAAAAATTTTAACACATAGATAATTTTAATGTAAGAAAAAAAGTTTTTTTACATTATTGGATCTTAGATATTAAATATTTCCATCATGAGAAGGTATAACATTCTGCTGGGGAACAAACATGTTTAGGGTACAAACATCAGATTTATTTTTTTAATGAGACTGTTATTTTTTTATCATTTGCATAATAATTATAAATTTGTCTTCTTAATAGTATTTATTTCATTATTCCAAAGGAAAAAGAATCTGAATTATTCAAACCAAAGATTTTAGAGTCCCATATTGAATCAAAATTAAAAACACTGCCAGTTTATCAAGCTCCTCAACGCATTGTAACAACAAAAGCTGTTCAAACAGTTAAGTATCCACAGTTTGTGATTTAGCAGTTTTGAGGTTTATAGAAAACTTTATAAATTATTAATAAAATGATTTTTTTTTTTAATTTAGGAAAATAATGATATAGATGAGATTATCAAAAATGACAAAGTTGCTAATGAAAATTCAGATGAAAATGATCCCTTGGAAAATGAGACAAAAGATTTGTCACATAATAATGAGAAAGACAAAGGTAAAGTTACAAGTAATCAGAAGAAACATGAAGGCTCAGATGAACATAAATTCAGGTAATTCTACATGTTTAAGGTTTCAATCATAATGAAATATAAAATATCGTCCTAGGTAAAAGCATCTGCACATTATAAAATATGGCAGTATAGATCCCTCAGGAGTGATGGGTTTTAAAGAATGAAAAATCAAATGAAAGAGAATGTTGTGGACATTCAATGAATGCCAATTTCATAACTTAAAACCTAACAACAATAATATTAAAATAAAAGACATGGAAAAATTTGGAGATTTCAAAAGTTCAAGACCTGATATAGTTCCAATGGAGCTACACTAGGCCCTGTGTTTTAAAGAACTATATTGTACTTTTTTTGAGATATGCTTAAGTCTCTTAGGTGCTATGGTTGCCATGGGATACTTTTCACATGTTTAGATTTGAAAATTAAAATATTGATATTTACTTTAGTAGATAGTAATTTTATATACTTATTGCCCAAAATATGTATATCTAAATAAAAACTAATATTAGTCAATCTCGTGTATTAATTTAATTAAATGTATTAATTGTTTAATGCATTATATATATTTTTTATATCTTTCTTTTGTTTCCAATCTACTTCTAAACGTATCGTTTTCATCAAGTTTCATAATCCTAAAACTTCAATGGTTTTTTAAAAACATTCATGATGATTCGCTTTACTTATATAATGACTGCTATTAACTAAACATGATATTAATATATCTCGATTATTGATTTTTAATATTTTTGTTTAATATTCTCAGGCCGACAGACAAATCATGTGCATTGTTCTTGAAAGATATTACTGATGATATCTTAAGGAAAGGTATTTATTCGAATCAGAGCCTTGAAAAACTGTTTACTCATCATATCTCTAAAAATAAATATTTTCTCCCAAAGGTACAGTATATTTGATAAAAATATTAAGACTTTTCTTTCTATTTCTAGCATTAAAAAGATTACATAACTATTACTGCTGCATAATTAGAAACAAAAAGATTTGGCTTAATCAACTATTCTTATCACCAGCAATTAATTCACAGACTCTGATCTCAAATCTTCAAATTTCTTTTGTCTGCTTTGAATACATGTTATCACTAACAATATATTCCAATTAAAGAATATATTTTTATTTTTGTCCTATTGGTACTAATAATATCAGACATGTAAGGTTTGATGATAGTTTAGGCACTAGATTGTATTATATGGTAACAGTAGAAGATTTTCACATTTTTTATTGTAATGAATGTTTTTAAATATGACAAAAAATTTTTTTAAAAATAAAGTAATTATTAGGCAGAAGCTGCTGACCATAATTCAGGAAATATTATTAAAATAGTCAAGTGTTAGGGATTGGCCATATAAAAAGATATAACTAGTTGGAGAATATGGTTGAGAGGTTGTGGGCAAAGATGAAATAACATAAAAATAAGAAGTTATATTTTATGGTAGGGCATTAACATTCATCTGTAGGTTAAGAAATAATTAAATATTTAAAGTACAAAAAATTTAACTTTCAGTATTGAATATGCAGTTATTTTCATTTCAAAGGATGTCTGGATCACTACCCATTTACTTCTTGGAAGCGACTTTCTATCAGTGACCTATACTATTTTTGTATATTTTTCATTTACAGCTTGCATCAATCCGATTGTATGCTTTGCTGAATTTCTTTCTTTGATACATGATTTTTATTTCATCTATAAGTAACTTGTGGTTTGTATTTAATTCTGCAGAGGATTTAATGTAGGTAGGGTATTGAATTGACTGATGTGGGATAATGAACAATCTGTCGAAAGCATCGGTTCGGTGGGCCCTTATGTATAAATCAGAAGACCAGGAACGTGGGGTGATCAGTCAAATAAGAAGGCAAAAATAAATGATACTATTTATTTTGACACTAGCCGACGTTTACTATTAAAAAATTAATAGTATCGTTTATTTTTGACTAATCACCCCAACTATTCTTCTCTTCATTATTCACGACAGTCAACCATTTACCAATTATAAATATTAAAATAGTTATCTTAACTCTCAAAATAGAAGGATAATACTGTATTTTTGTTTTTTATTCATAGACATTTTGGTTTTAGGACATCATGGAAAGAGAGATCATGAGATTGAAAAAGGAACTAGATATGCCTATAGAAAGTGAAAAACAAGAATCAGAAGAAACAATCAAAGATGAGGAAGCCCTCACAGCTTTGGATTCCTTGTTTTTGCCCTCAGATATAAGGGATAAAGTCGCTTCCTCATTAGGCCTCACTAAAAAATCTCCGATACCCTTACCTAGCCCAAAGGATAGTTTTACTGGATCATTAGAATTAACAAGTATGAGCGAGAAGCCGAAAAAAGAATTATATAATGATGAAAAACACAAAACAGACAGCGTGAGAGAATCTGATGGGTCAGAGCCAGAACAAACGAGTGAATCTAAAGAAGATACTATAAATGATGTATTGGACAATAGATCATTGAATGAAAATAGTGCTCATTCAACAGAAATAGATAGTCAAGATGAGACCGATGGTGATGATAGCGATAAGAATGATGTTGTTAACAGAACAAGAACTGTAAGTCCTGTTTTAGAAAAAATTGTCTCTGATAATGTTTCCAAGCACCATGAAGAGATTGAAACTACTAGTGATCTGTCATCAATCCATACAGAATCTGATGGTTGAAGTTGGCAAGCTGTGATTTTATAATATATTCTTTTGATTTTAATTCCTTTTTGTATGCCACTTGTATAATTCTCATATTTATTATAGAATATATTTCTTACATTTAGGAACATTACACACAAAAAGTAAGCTATATTTTTTTTTAAAGCAACAAAGTTAGAATAAGAAGAGAAATTATGCCAAAATAACCAGAGATATATATTTTTTAAACCTTAGCAATAAATAAGTTATTATTTTTCGCATCCATAAGAAGAATAGTAATAGATTTTAACTTTTTTAACCATCACATGAAGATGCTTGATTACATTCTACACTCATGATTTCCTAGTTGATGGTATTGCAACACTTTATTTATTTTCTTTCTGCACTTCTCCTTACTTCTCTTAAAATATGTTATACATGATACGTTTTTAAACATAACTTAAAACAAACAATTTAAATCAGAAAAAACAAAAATAGTTCCAACTGCATTGTATTATAGTTTTATTGTAAAACAATTAAAAGATTATTTTAGCCACTGTTAAAATGAAACAATACATTATTATAAACTACTTCTTTTTTTTTCTTAAATAATTCAATTTTATCTATTATTTTTTAATTGAGAAACTTACCATTTAGCAAAACTATTTGTTCCAGATAAAGTGATTTTATTATTAACTTAAAAATTGAACAGCTATTTGGGCAGAGGATATTTCTATAACTAATCACATCCTGGTTAAATATCTTTCAAGAAAAATAAACTAAAGGAAAGTGAAACTGCAATAATTCAAAAACATTCTTTTATTCAAGGCAAGGGTTTATCCATCCTTTGGTCACAACTTTTTGATAGATGACACTTAGCAGTAGGTCCCTTATACTCCTATAACAAGCGTTGAACAGAAAGAGATTTATATATGTAAGAAAATGAATCAGCAAATCTCAACTTATAATCTTAATAATTATTTTTATAAAGTCAGTATAATTCCTACAGTTTCAAATTTAGCCCATTATATTTTAATAAAACGTATCTATATAATTCAGAAGTTATAATATACTTTTTTTTTAATGGGGATCTTATAATTAATTGAAGAGTGGTATACCTTTGAGCATTTCTCTTATTTCTGAAAGAACCGTTTATACTTTATTCATATAACTTTTCTACCTTCTGTAGAATTATCTTTTTTTGAAGGTTGGATCTTGTCCATACATTCAGTTTCAGGTAATCAAACCTCAAAGAACATTATACTGTACTTAGTGATTTTATTATCATTTCACACATAAAGAATAAAGGGAGAAAAACTCAAAAAATGAATTGTTGTTAGAAGGGACCTTTGAGATAGGATAAGTTAAATTCTGCATTCAATTAGGAAGAACCAAAGACCTAGGAGAACAGGTAAACTATGGTTACAGTTTAGTTTTATTTTATTTTCACAATTTTTAAGAAGAGATTAATCAATTTTATTGAGAGAAGGCATACATCATCATCCTAAAGGAGGGTATGGGCACCCCTGTTGATTTTTAATTACACAAAAACTATTTCACATAGTTTAACGATTTTTAATTACATTAGACGTATTATTATACGCCTCTGTTGAAGTCACTCCTTTCAAAATGTGACATTTAAAAAAAAAACAGATTATATGGAAAGGTAATGTGATAGATCAATTTAATAAAAAAACATTGAAGATTTTATGGTTTTGAAAATTAATTTAAGAGTTTCAAAGCTTATAATATCATCATCATTCCTCTTCTACAGTTTGGAGTACTTTTCTATAGAGCCTGAAGCGATATTCAGGGGTATAGCATGGCCCATATTCATGATTACAGCTCTCACATTTTTCCATTCTTAAAACCTCCAACCTGAAGTACTTTTCTTCAAAACTTTATTATTTTGATAGAGAAGCATAATTAGACAGTGTAAATATTATATTTTGATTTTTCCTTATATTCTCTGAAAGATATCATTTATTCTAAATGATAGACTTTCTAGTTACTGGCCAGGTTTCGAAGGAGTACCTATGAAGTACTCCATCATTTCATCTTAATTTGAATCTTCATCAAATGAAGCTTCAACACAACCTTGAATTCCAACTCCCATAATTAATCCTATAAGAATATTTTTGTTCCTACTATTTATGTCAATGTTTACTTTGACTAATTATATAATTCCTTAGGACTTGAGTTGGCTTCACGGGGTCATTTACCCTTTTAAAATGTACTTACAATGTCAGAAGAAAAACTCGTGATTCACGATCTTTAGAGACATTATTACTGGAGAGAAGGGTTAGGCGCCAAGGCACGCATCAAGAAATTTGTGCCATTGCAGGAGAGTGAGTTACCCGAAATACTGCTGCACATTGGTCCAGACCTTTCAACAATAGGAATATGAGCCTTGCAGATGGACCCAGATAAAATCGCCCATCGGTCGATGATATTGAAGTTTTGCTTGATTGTATGAACTAGGACCTTCATGTAACTACTCATGTTTTATCGGCCGTATAGGGGCTTCTTATGCCACAGTAGTTATATATATTGCACCATCAGATTATGGTTTCTTTAGATCAATGGCTCATTTCTTTCAAGGTCGGATCTTTGATAAATGCGATAACGTAAAAATTGGATGTGAAGAGTTGTTGGCCTCAAAACCGAAGGAGTGGTACTGACTGGCGATGGTATTCATAATGTTCCAAAAGTTGACACTAATGTGCTAATTTTTGGATTATCTTACAAAAATGTACTTGCTTTGATTGCCAAAGCTGATGAGACACCAAGATGTTTTAAAACATACATTATACCATATTATTATTATACTTATTTTATCCTATGTATTTGGTGCTACAGATTCTGCTAAACAAGGACGTCAATCTATCTGGAGCAGTATGCCAACTGGTGAGTAAGCCGAATAAAAGATAAAATGAGTGGATGGTGTTAAACTTGTTACACTCGATTTTGGACCAGTATCGGATCATTACGATGATGGTCAATATTTGCTGTAATAAGCAAAAGCTGTTCATTGGAATGCTTTCTTTTTTAAGAAAATGCTTCAGAGAAATTTTTATAATAAACATAGAATAATATTTCATTGAAGCATGGAAAGATTTTCTGTTGCTCATTGTTTACATTGTGTAAATTAGTTACTGTAAACAAGTACAAAACATGGATATTCGAGTTGCGAAACTTATATCATCAGATACTCAATGTGTCATTTTTTTCGTAGCTCATTAATCTCTTAAGAATTCTTAAGTCATGATGATCGAGCGTGTTAAAGCGTAAGCTTTCTTGAGTCTTAACGACGCCGTTTCTAATTCGGCCTGGGCGGATTAAAATTGATTTCGTGGGGGCTCCACGTTGGTTTGATTGTACTTCTAGAACAACATCACCTCCCCCTATTCCAGAAATGAACAGTTAGGAGTGTCGTCAGAAAAAAAAGTGGATCAATTTCTTAACATTTTTTTTAATTGATCAATGTTTTCCAAATTTCAACATCGGCTTATGACTATTAAGTTTACGTATAGTGTCCTTCCATTTACTCATTAATTTGCAGAATCCAGACTTCATTCAGAAAAATAGATCGTTCATTCCACTTAAATCAACCTAGTTTATTTAAATACCTCCCTAAACCTTTTGGCGAAACGGGATTTGGAAGCAGTAGCACTAAGCTTGATAGCGCAGCCCGACTGCTGCCAATTTTCTCACCTTCATTCGTTTAATAAGATATCGATCCTACTTGTTGCACTTCCCCTGAGTAAACGTCACCTGTCAGTTTTTCAGGTATCTGTTCTTGACTTTTTCCTTGAGTTTCCAGGTCAGAGAGAGACGGCTATAGGCTTTGAACATTTTAAACCACGAGAAATTTTCCCCACTCTCTGATGAAACTCGTTTTCAGTAAGGACTGATCTCTGCAGCTCTCATCAATGAGCCCTTTAAAGCAGTTTGTAACCACGTGCTCAACAGCTTTCATAGTAAGTTGTGTAGAGAGCGTTCATGCAAAGCTATGAAACTTGGCTTAAAATCCAACACACCCAGTGAGGAATTGTGAAATCTAATAATTCCGTAGCATATGAATCACGTGCATCGCGGTGTAGAGGCTTCCTAATAAGTTGTTTCGTGCTACATGTCCCACCCATCTTAATCTCCTATCTTTCATATCATGAAATATCGATTGGCCAGTTTCTTTAAACAGTTTTTTATTGGCCGTCTTCTTCAAACGTTAGTACTCTAATCCTAGATCATTCCATTGATCGTTTAGAGGATTTATCTCTCAAACCATTCAACATTTCTTTCTAGGATCCAAGTTAGGTTCTACGCTCCACGTCTCGCATGTGTAAATCAGAACTGCCTTAATTATAAAATTTTACTCCATCAATGAAATTCCTATCATTACCTGTCTGTGCTAGTCTGTTTTGATCTTTGGTCATTTATAGAGTTTATTGTGTAACCAGTATTCAGTAACTAAAAACTTACGTTTTGTTTGTTAGCAGAGAACTGTAAGTTTATCTGTACTGAAGGATCCCAAAATAGGAAAAGATATAAATGGTTTTGCCTATTAAGATGTTTGGCCGGAAAGATTATATACAAGTTAAAAAAATTATACATTTAATCAGTTGATGTAATTAAAACCTCCAAAAGTCTTCTCTCCCTTCCTGCAACACAATAAACCTCCTCCTGCCTTTGCGTCAGTCACTTGGGTTGTCAAGTACTTGTGCAGATTTCCTTTTTTTTGATGTGATCTCTTTTTTTTTCTTCTTTTTTTTTTAAGAGAAACGAATCAACTTAGAATTTCTTCTAAAATTGGTAAGCTGCGAAATTCATTCCAGAGTAGGAAACAGAAACAAGCTGAGAAGCCCAGGATAAAAACAATTAAGGAAATTACGGTCGAATGTCTAAAACTACTTAAATTCTTGACTCTAATGGTAGTGTTCGCTTAAAACTCGAAGATGTAGATGAAACATTCATGTTGACTTCCTCGGACAATTCGTTATCGTCTCGCCCAGGTACCACCGAAGTTAGCTGAAAGGGACAGTGTTTCTTCCGTAACAATTATAATTTTTACCACTCTTCCTTAGTTGTTTTTGGACCCAAACATGATAACCATGGCGGAGCACCACTATATGACTTTTTCATGTTTGCTTATTGCAAGATAGAGGTTCGAGGAGAATATGGATGACTTAGAATCTATGGAATTAGAAACGACACGAAATTAAAGTACATGAAAACAGAATATTTCCATCAGTGGCAAGTAAGATTAATAAGCCCATACCCGCTGGTCCTGGAAAACCCCGTATAGCCTTAACGGCGAAGAAGGGGAGGACCCCCAAAAAAAAATAAGATTATACTAGTATAATGTGTTTCAGTGGGAGAGTATTTTGAAGGGGACAGTATTGTATTATCCTAGTACTTATTACTCAGTAATTGCAATACAACTAATGTTTAAACTTAAAGCATTGACTATATATGTACTGAAAACTGTTATGTAGTACCTAGCATGGAATTTTAAAAGCTGTTACATAACAATTAATAGCGCCATTCATCAATAATGTATTATTTTTTATATATCTCCTTGGATTATTAATACATTATTGAAAATATTGAAGCTAACTTACACTAATAGTGTAAACAAATAATAAAAGTTATTGAAGTAATAGGCGTTAAAAATGTTTTTAAAATAGGTATGATATATATTTATATACAAGCACCAGTTATAATTTGTTTTAAACGATTCTGTCAGTGTCAAAATAATCATTAAAAAAATATCCATGCTGTATTTATTAATTGCAACCCTGTCATTTATAAAATTAATCATATTTATAGAAATCACCTGTTAACAAAACTAATTTAAACAGTATAGTTGAAATGAAGGCTAAGAAAGAATTGAGATATTGGATATTTAAATTATTCAGGTTTTGTTAAGGTTTCTTGTGAACATTCAACTACTTGCAATTCCCGTATGGATAGTAACGGGATGAGAGTTGTTACTTTTTTCAATTGTTGAAACTTCTCCTTGGTTTGGACATTTGTCAGCTCCGGTTGCGTTGAATGTAACCTTAGAAATCTCTCAGTAATGGCGGACATTTTCCGGTAGTGCTCAATTGTTACATGTGGAAGACTTCTCTCGAAAGTTTTAAATGCTGTTAATAACATACGTATAAGACTGAAGATTTAAGTGACTTTGAGCCTAATAATATTAAGTATAATGGCAGATCTAGACGATTTTTTTGCCAAGAAAGATAGGAAGAAGTCCAAAGGCAAGAAGTTTGCTACAGCAGATGAAATAGCGAAAAAGTTAGAGGAGACTGGGAGGCGAGCAGAAAAGCTCAAAAAAGAAAAAAATCAGACTTCCCAACTCACTACTACAGATGTTGACGAACAAGGGAACGCGGTTCAGGTATTTAGATATATACTATTATTGATTTTAAGCTTTCTAACCTTACCTCAGACCATATCTTTATTTGCTACATTTCATGTTTATATTTTAACACAAAACGTTTTTATATGTTACCCTGAGCCTCAAGTTTTCTAATTATAACAAAATTTTCAATTACAAATAGTTCCATCTGTTCAACAGATATAAACTCATGTTGTGTATTTAAATGCATGGTGCCCTTATGTGCCATACTCTTGATGCATTCATATTAACCTTTTAATTTTAACATTAATAACAATTATAACTTTAATAAATTGTGTAACAGTGCGATATTTTGAAAGATACAATTATTAGAAACAATATATTTTGATATTGGGTGCATTTGATGAAGTTTCATTAATTGATTTTATCTTGAGTTATTGCAAAATGTTAAATTGATTTTGTGATCATCAATCATAGTATTGTAGTAGTTGTCAAAATCGAAAACTCTATTTATATTGTCTGTTTTATTCATTAGTAACTCATTTATTTGTTAGGATGAAGACGAGTGGAGGGAGTTCGAAGAGGAGAAAAAGGACTATACGGGGTTGAAAATACAGAATTTAACATTAGCAGAGTATGACAGTGGGGAAGAAGGGAATTCAGCAGGAGAAGGTACAAAGTCATAATTTTAAAAGCATGATTAGAATATTTTTTTTACTTATTTATAGAGATACAAGTACAGTGGTTAGTCGTAGTTATGTAAGAATTAGTAAAAATTATTTAAGTATCCTTTCCTTGTTGCGTCATCGTAACAACATTTCATTTTATAGTAAAAGTTTTCTCTCAACATCTATTTTATGTTTTTAGGCTCGTTATGGTATCAAAAGTGTTTTTTTTTAAATAACAAAATCATCAGTATTAACTTTTTCTAAATCATAATACTGGTCCATTAACAACATATTGATTGTGTCCCTTATTATTTGTTTAGTTCTGGTTAGGAAAAATATTTAATATTATAATAAAACTGACTATATAGGCTTTGTTGAATGGTTTCATAGGTCAATTTTAAAATTACATAACTGTTATTATAATTCATTATACTGTATTTTTTTATTTATTGTCCTAGAGATCATAACTTAATATATTTAGTGCATCTGGCATGTATGTTTGAGAGAATTAGGTTCAATATTTTGTTTGTTACACGAGTTTTTAAAGTTTTAATTTTTTTATATATCGAACAATATGGTTAAATATTCTGAGAAATCTTTTACAAAGCAATTATAAATCATTGTTTGCTGCCTATGTTCCTTCCTAAGTAGAGCTTTAACTTTTCTGTAATATAAAAGAAAAATTAATTTGGTAGCTGTTAGTTATCATATTATTATTGAATTATGTCAGTTGTTATTGTAAGATTTGATATAAAAAAAATCTAGTGAACTTAGCATTAATATGTAGACATTTTAATCTACTTATAACCCTACAACTATAATGTTCCCATGTGCATTTTCATGCTCGTGTAACAACAAAATATATTTAAATAGTGTTTTTTCATTTTTTTTTTTTTTATAAAATTTATATTATTATATATTATAAATTTGTCAATAATTTGTTATTATTAAGATAAAAAGATGGAAGATTGACTTTTTAATTAAAAGTTGTATTCATATACTTGAACCTTTTCACAAATGTTGTCGAGATATTAAAAACACCTCTATACCTTTTGTTATGTTCATTATAACAATGATTTTCTTTGATTACAGGAGAAGAGGAAGGTGGGATGGAAGAGAACGAATCTGGAGAGCTCGTTCCTAAGAAGAAGAGTCAGGGACCATGGCGGGTAGTAGCTAGCGCTGCCCCAGCTGAAGAAGCACCAGTTGTCGAAGAAGTTGAAAAGCCGCCACCGCAGCAACCTCCACAGCCGCAACAGACGGGAAGCTATGTCCCTCCTGCACTGCGGGCACAAGCCAATAAACAACCGGCTTCTTTTACCAGTATGTTTCAATGCTTTATATATTTAATGTTTTTAGTTGACAAAAAATGTGTGTGATGTGCTTAAATATGGGGCTCTTGTTAAAGTGTAAGTACTTAAGCACTTTAATGAAACTTATACATTGCTAACTCCCTTGTAACTATTTCATTTTATTTTAGTAGTGTTAAAATATTAAGCATTGTCATACTGAAGGGATTGGGAAGAATTTGTTTTAAAAAAATTGAATTGAAACCATCAGCAATGGTTGAGAGGATATTTTTTTTTTGTGGCAATATGTTAAAATATCCTATATATTCAGTGAATTGCATAAAGTCACTTAGTGCAATTTTCTTGCTTTCAAGTAACTAATTAATTATTTCAATCTTGTTTATCAGTTTAACTAAGCGAAATTAACATAAAATTTATTAAAAATGTCAAAAATATACAATGTTTTGATTTCACAAAAGGAAAATTGAGGTGTAGAATACGATAATCTCACCAAAGTCATTGATTTTAACAATATATTATCATGAGATGATTTAATTTCTAATTAAACTGTTTTTGGACTTTTACCGTTGATTCATCAAGTTACTTAATGACTTTTTGCACTAAACCAATGATACATTGTAGGTAAGATACTTAAGTGAGGTACATTTGAATGCTTAATAACTTTCATTCACCAACTTCAAGCAATAACCTTTAAAATTCCTCTGTTGCTGACCTATAGATGTTTTTAAAATGTGCATTTTATTAGTCCTCAAAATGTACATTTGAAAAAAAAATTCTCTCCGCTGGAAAGTGATTTTGATTTAATACATCTTTCATCATGATTATTCCATATACCTTTTTCAGTTATTAATTATTTGGGTTTATGTTAAATTAATTGTAGTTTTGGATATTTGTTTTGATGACGCTTTTCCTATATTTTACTTAATGTTTGTGTTTATTCTATTTTGATAACATTCACATCCTATAAATTTATTACGATTTCAGATTCGAGATTGAGGCGTAAAGTTGCGCCTGATGTGAAGAGTGAAGAGCTCTTTCCTACTTTGTCGGCTGCTGTTACTCATGAGCCTGCATCGTCTAACCCTTGGAACAAGAGGTAGTACATCATTTTAGCTATTAAATTTGCATTTCCTTAACTAAACAATTAAAAATTGTTTATTAAAGTTTTTTGTGCCAATAAAGATAATTTGTGTTTTTGAAATATTTTTTTGTCAAAAAAAAGGATATTTTGGCTTTCTTAAATAAGTTAATGCCAGAATTACAAATGAATGTTTCCATTGTTATTAATACCAGCCAAAGATGGGCTGCTTAATGTTTGTTAGGTATCTTTTGAATGTATATATTATAAAACATTATAATTTTTTATTGTATATTTATCTTTAAGATGAAGAGACTTAATTTATTATAAATTCTTAAGACTGAAAAAAACAACTTCATCACTTCAAAAACTTTATTTTTGAATGTTTAGTTTGTGTCATCTGATAATGGCTGGATAGTTAAGACATATAAAAATAAAGCACAATTGGCTAAAAGATCAGTTATATTCTTTTACAAATATTTTAATGACCTAGAATTTTTCTTGAAATGTTCTGGAAAAGTCATGGAATTCTGTAATGAAGTTTCAGTTGACAGTTGACTCCCTGTTTAAAATTTGTGTTATGTTTGATTCTCATTTCCTTTTCAACCCCATCCTTCTCTCTTATTACTTTAAAGTTTTTTTTTTTAACAGACAAAATATCAATTAATTGTGATTTATTTAATTTCATTGTGTTTGAATATATTTTATTTATTTATACTGTTTTTGCAGGAAAGGGGGCAAGGATGATACTAATGTAGTCGGTGGTGGCTTTGAAGAAGTCAGAAACTCAAAGTCGCACACAGCTCGATACGAAGCTCCGCACTTACAAGCTAAATCGTTAGCCCTCGGAAACAAGTATGGTGCTCTCAACTCTGAGCAGAGTTAACACTTCTGCCTTGTCGACTTCATTATCCTTTAAAAGTCTAGACGTACATAAATGTATATTTTCAAAGTTTTATGGTTTTTGTTATGTTCTTTTTCATCCCTTCATATCGATTCTTCTGTGTCTTCCTTTTAATGCCCAACTGTCATCTTGTACACAGGTATATAAGTGTAAAATGATTTCTATATATATATGTGTATAACAGGTTCAGCTAGTAGGAAAATTAATTTTCATAAAGAAAAATGTCTACCACTGAAGCTTTCTTTTATTGGTCATCTGATTATTAAGCATAAAAAGAAAAAAATATCAGTTTTAAGCTTCCGTGAGGGTTTTCATTTTTCCTGGTTTTATTGTTAATTTGCAGCCTGTTAAATCCATCCATTCACATTAAGCTGTATAAAATATTGGATTTATTTTAATTAGGTTTTGTGTTCTCGGTCAGTGAAACCTGCTCTCCGTTTAACGGTCGTCTGAGACAAACAATTATGACTATTTTTCTTGTCTGTGTCTTAATGTCCCTAAAGTAAGTAATAGAAATCGCTTTAAGGAGAGGGAAGTGGGTTGCGGTCGAGATTGTTAATGTTAAATATATATGTATAATACTACATTTACTTTGTGCATGATGGATATCGTGTATATTATAGCTATATATGCATATAATGGTAATCTTAAGGCTAGTTTATAGGCAGTTATAAAATTAAAAGAGTCAAAATTATTTTCTTTATTTTTGGATAAAGGTTTTAATTTTAATGGTAGGTGTTTTTAACAATATTATCTTTTCAATAAGACAACTGAAAGATATTGTCTTGGACCATCGTCGAGGAACTGCAACAGTTCCTTGGCGCGTACTGTAATTAGATGATAGTACTACTTGAGCGCCAGTGTCGTGTTTCGTCTTACCAATTGAGTATGATTGATGCGTTGCAACTTTATTTGTCTTGTCTCTTATTTATCTTGTTCTGATACATTGTAGTATTTGTAAATATAACATTATTCAAATATGAGGTTACAAATACAAATGTTGTAGTTAAAAGAATATTATTTATTTTTTTCATTGTTATTCTAATATTAATTAAAAAGATGGATGTTAACAATTTTTTACTTTTACTCGAATGCATTTGTAATTTTTTTTTTTTTTCATTTTATGTAAGTAGTTTTATGTGGTTACAAAGTAAATTTTCTTTATTTTATTAGAGACTTTCTGTACTCTGGTGAAACAAAGTAAGATTTATGTTGTTTTTATATGTTTTACGTTATCCTGCTTGATGTACTATTCATATTGGCGAATAACATTAATAAATAAGGCAGATTTAAATCATTAATTTTAAATTAAAGGCAATGATGGTGACTACATTATATATTCTGTATATTATATTATATTATGTTTTTTTGTTTTTTATATTGTGTATATTTATTTATATCTGTCCAAAAAAGTTATTTTCAGAACTTAAAAATTATTAATTTTTTAATAAGAGGCATTTGGATAAAAAAAAAAGACCAGTACAATTTGTAAAATATTTTAAAAGAGAAGAAAAAAAAAATCAAATTATAGTAAAAAAGTTTAAAACTTGACATATTTTTTCCACTATAATTAATAAAGAGTTGTTGGGTTGTACTCTGTATTTTCTATTTCCTTCGAAATATTAATATTTTAATTGAGAGATGCTTAAATGTGAAAACTCTTAGTATTTGAAGTGGCTGCGGTATGGAAGATAACTTCTTGGCCAAATAAGTGTTCGGGATAAGGAAGTTACAGATGGTTAGAAAGTGTAATGTTTTGAAGAGATTAATGAGATTATAGAAAAGCTGATGGCAAGATCAATCCATAAAATAATCAATAAGAGGGTTCAAAATAAGCAATAAATATTTTGAATGGCGATACATCTATGTTTGTAGAGATAAAAAGAGCCATGGAATTTATTTTTGTTTTTTCCTATTTCGCTCAAGTTTTCAGGATTAGAGGGAGCGGGGTAGCTCAGTGGTAGGGCACTGAGCTTCCAATGCAAAGGTCCCGAGTTCGAACCCCGGCTCATGGCAGAAAATTTATTTATCTGTTTCATTGGCCGTGGGGCGACCTTGGGTCAGAAGTCCCTCCTGGGGCACACCCAGCCTCTATAAAGTGGGTACCCTTAATTAAATAATTAGTTAAGGGGGAAAACCTGGCGGTTGAGCGTGATCTCGGTCAAATCACCTCCTTGCACAACCGTTGACCTAGAAACAGTGCTTTCCCTAAATAGTACTGAACCCCAGACCCTTCATTGGTTGTAGTGGTACAGGTTTTTTTTTTTTTTTTTTTTTTTCAGGATTAGGGAACCAGTATGCGTGATATATATTATAGTTACATTATTTCTTCAATTTGTAGTAGATTTAAATGAGTTTGTTTTAAATGATTTTAGTGATTAAAAATATGTTTACAAAAAAAAGAAGTTTTCTATAAAATATTTTCAATTAAAATTATTTTAATGGACAAATAATTATTCACTAAATCATATTACTCTATTCTCCTGTTTTCCACATTTTTGAACTATCACCAGCTAGATTTTAACAAAGCGAATAAGGCTTTTATTTACCATTAGCTTGCCCTTCTCACGTTGCAGTGATCTAAGAAGAAAGTAAATACAAGGAAACTCGTTGTAGTAACATTCAATTTACATTGTCATTTTTATTGAAACTTATTCATTTTCATGTGGAAAAGATTTCAAAGTGTCATTTTAATTCTATTTATTTATTCATATATTTGTGGATACACGATATTTCTTCTGTGTATCGTCCTGTGCCTACACGAATAAATCAGATGGTTTTCTGACACATGAGCTGCCCATATTTAGTTGTCTAACTGAGAAGCATGGCTTCTTCAAATTCAGCCCGCACACCAAAAGTATTCTGTTATAATATTATTTATTATGAAGGTTCTTCATAGATTTTCGTTACTGAGTAATATTTAAGTCTGGAACAATAAAATTAAGTATGAAGCCATTAAAAGCATTATGAACTACTCCTGATTGAGTGGTTTGATATCGTAATATAAATAGGGAAACACAAAACGGTTCAGCACCTTTTACTCCTCTATTATTCAACCGATTTTCTTCCTTCTTTTTTTGTTTAATAGATATTGACGAGCTTTAGTGTCATCAATAAATAAAAATATTAAATAGTATGTGAATAAAAATATAAACGGTAGTTTGTTCAAAACGGCTAATCTCTGAAAGTTTTTCACCGATTTCTTTTAAATTTTGACACAACGTCGTCGCAATAATATTTAGAAGTTTTTTTGTATACGTTTCATTGTCATCAGGCCTTTCCTTTCGAAATGGGGCCAAAAAACATGATTTGCTTTAGACTGTAGCGCCAATACGCCTTCAACGATTTCAATGAAACTTGTCTTCCTCTTGAAACCTTTATAATTTATGTAAATAACATCCTTTCCCAAAAACAAGCTGCATACATTTTTATGATGAATTCAGTATTTTATTTGTGAATAACTCAAAAAGTACACATTTTTATACCTATAATACCAATATTTATTTGAAAGCTTCCTGAATTTCCTACAAAATAGAAAAAAATCATCGAAATCGGACTATTTGTTGCAGAGATATACCATTTTAAACATTTAATACTTTTTCTTTTGCAAATTCGATTTCCTTTATTTTGGTTTTTGATAAATCGAAAACTCTACATTTACTGAGATAATTGGGAATATTATTTGAAGAGATGATATCTTTGAATGAATTTAATTTATGAGATAACATTAATTCTATAGTTATACTCATTCTTAACTTAAATACTGCACAAGCATTAGTTAATGGAACACGAATGAGAGTGAGGTAATGACGGGAGCTACTTTAAATAAAATAATTTTAATTCCAAGATCTAATTAAATATTTTCTGATACAATACTTCCATTTAAATCTCAAAGAACAACGTTCTTATTAATAGCTGCATTTGCCATGACCATAATCAAATCTCAAGGTCAAAGTTTTGAAAAATTTGTGTATTGCGATGTCCAGTAATTTTGCGTGGACAATTATATGTGGCAGCAAGTAGAGCACGTTCATTTCAAAATTTGAAGTTATATTTCCAATGGCAATGGGCAAGGCGATGTACTAAACAATAACAGAACATTCAAAAAGAACATTGTTTACAGATAAATTCTGCATAAAAATGGACTTTAACTCGGTTGAAATTGCTAATTTAAATTTATTTTTTATTTGCTTAACATTCATTTATTTTTATAATAACACCTAAATTAAAAGTTTTCACTGAGTCTATTTTGTATTACTTATAAATAATTTTAAGTACTTCAAGCCCTTATTTGAATTGGAATTGAAATTTTATTTATATTAATAAACCAGGATTTTTGAATTGTGATTTACCCTTTACTTATTGAATATATTTTTTATTTAATTATGTTTTCCTCAAATTATTAATGGCTATGGTCGAATTTCGACCACTGGGCGGGCGAACACTAGTTTCATTAAATACTCCACCCTAATTATTTAAATTCCTTTATTTTTGAAGTGTCACTATAGAAGGTCTTTGCCTTTGCAGCATCTTGTTTTTCCCAATTTAATTTTCTTTAGTGAACTCTAATTGTGTTGTTTCTTCATCTTCTCTCAGGTTTCATTTCACAGTCATTAACTACAAATTATTTTATAAATATTTAACTTCGTTTTTTTTATAATTCTACTTGTGAGAACATTTATATTTTTTTTCGTAATAACATGAAGTATGAAAAAATATAAGTAATGTTAGCCATTGTTCATTCTAATCCTGCCTTGTTTGCAAAAACAATATTGTAAAGATATAATGTATCCTTTTCAGTTGGTTGTTTAAGAAATCTTATTTATTTCTATCATTTTTGAGATTGATGTCGGTTTGATATAAAATAACGCAATGTTATAAAACAGTTCCAACTCCATATTAAACATAATATGTAAGCATTCAGTAACAGCAAATACAATAAAATAATGTTTGAAGGTAATGAAAATACATTTTTTCACTTTTAATAGGAGATAGTAGTAAGTATAAAGAGAGGTAGTAATAAAAAAAATATGGAACCCCTTAACATGTGGTGTTTAGTAATGACTACACTGTATTTAGGAAACACTTGTGTACAGGCAAGACGATTCCGAAAGTCCTCATAACATTCCAAATCAGTCAGTCGTCAATTTTCTCATGTTTGCGAATTATGCTTAGTATAGAAACGCCTTTGAACATCAATTGGAACTGAGGATAGAAAAAATAATTTCATCCTGACAACTCTTTCTGTATAAGGATACAATGATGATAAGGAATCCGAATATGGAGTGCATAATGAAATAGCATTGTCCTTGCTCTTTGTTGTTGGTCATTGCCAAAGCAAGTCTCGCCAGAAACTTTGCTATTGAATTCAAATGAAATTTGTGATGGGATCATTGGAACACATGGAAACAGTACATTTTCCCCTTGAATTCAAGAATTTCATTGAGTACTTGACCACTCCATCTTCATGATTTTAGCAATACTGCGCAATATTTGGGGAACTTTTTAAATCAGTTCGTCTTTGGTTGATGTCATCTCAACAAAAGTTTTTTGACAATGTATTACTACCAAAATGATGATGAAGAAATTCAGTATTACAAGTATGGAAATTTATGACTGGAAAATGTTGATTGTAGTTTAAAGACCTAAATTTATTTCTTTTCTTTAATAATTTCTGCTAAAAGCTATACATTTGCTATGTGAATTGTTCAACATTTCAGGTAAGACTAAATTTAATGGCAGAAATTGGACGGTCTCCAACTGAATTATTTTCTATTAAATTACTATTTATTTGGAATTTTTTTATTATTATTCACTATTTTTTTTAGAAAATTAATTTTGCAGCTATCAAAAATTAGTAATCTTTTAAGTTAACAAAGAAGAAAATAAAGAATTTTCTCAAGTTTCTAGCAAGAAATTAAGGAAAAAGTGAGAGATAATGAAAAACAAATTTATAATTGGCCATCCTCCAGAAAGGTGAATTCAACCTCTTTCCACCCTCGGGATTTCACTAATGTAAAGAATTTAATCCTAATTGAACTTACGGCAATTACATAAAATTTGACGATTATTTGAAAATGCCAACCGTTAGTTGGTCGTAAACAATTCTACAAAACCATAACAAATCCCAGTAGTTATGTATTAGTGTGACTTGGACCTTAACCAAAAACTCATGGGAGAGAATATGGGGTGGAATTTGTTGAAGAAGAAAGAAAAAGGAGCTGTGGGAACTTTATGGAGAACCTAATATTGTGGCATTAATAAAAAGAGCCAGGATAAGATGATTAAGTCATGTAGAAAGAATATTCGACCAAAAAGGATGCTGTCTCAGAAGCCAGATGGCAAAAGAAGTAGAGGACGCCCTCGGATCACATGGCTGGAGGATGATCTGAGTTGGTTAGGGAGATGGAGGAGAGAAGTAGCACCAGACCATGGAGATTGATTGGCTGTAGTGGATGAGGCCTGGGTTCTTGCAGGACCATTGCGCCACTATAGTAATTATACCCAACTGAACACCTCAATCTTCCCTCTTCCTGGTATTGCTTTTAGTTGATATTCTTGTCATTTTTACTCGATTAAAACTAATCATTTGTT